CTGGGCTGGAGGGGCACAATTGAGCAAAAAAACAGCCTGTTTGTTTTTCATTCATTTCTGCCAATCTCATCCCTCAGGAACACTCTGAAAGCCTCCTAAAAGCTATGCACGGCCATTTTGGTGATGGGGGCGGGGTTTCCGGAGGCAAAAAATGCTGTATTCAGTGTATAAGACACACCCAGATTTTCAGCCTCTTTTTTGAGGGAAAAAGGTGCGTCTTATACTCCGAAAATTATGGTAGCTGTTCCTCAGTCCTTGGGCTAGGATGAGATTCAATCAGAGTCAACATGTCTATGGAGATTCTCAGTCATCCAGGTCATGGTTGCCCCAAAGGTGCTTTTTCAAAAGGCAACTAGACTTCCTTTGTTTTTCCCTTGAAGTTGTTTCACTTCTCAACCAAGAAGCTTCTTCGGTTCTGACTGAATGGTGGCGCCAGAACTGAAGAAGCTTCTTGGATGAGAAGCGAAATGACTTTAAGGAAAAAACAAAGTCCAGTTGCCTTTTGAAAAACCCTTTGGATCAGATTCGACGTGTTGGGTGGTCTGGTGCCTGGTGGGAAGGATTTGATTTGTTTTTATATTGTTCTTATTAGCATTCCTAAGCCCTCCCTCCTCCACCACCCCGAATCACTAGGGGAGATAGGCAGCCATATAAGTTCTTCAAGTAATCCAGTGGTTCCCAAACTTGGCAACTTTAAGACTTGTGAGTTCTGAGCTCTGCTGGCTGGAGAATTCTGGGAGTTGAAGTCCACAAGTCTTAAAGTTGCCAAGTTTGGGAACCACTGAAGTAATCCATTGTAAAAGAAAGCATGAAATTGTGACTTTGGGGGAAGTTTGGCCCTGGAAATGTTCAGATGCTGTTATTTAATCCAGAAGACCTTCTTCTTTTCTGCAGGATGCTTCTGCTACCAGCTTTAAGGGCTGTCTCAGGCACCTGAAACTGGACAAGAAGCCTCTGAATTCACCCTCCCGTGTGTTCGCTGTGACCCCTTGTTATGTGGGTCCTTTGGAAACTGGCGTTTTTTTCTCCATTGAAGGAGGATACATCACACTAGGTACTTTTTAAAGTGTCGCCTGCCCTTTCACACTTGGTCGTTCTTGCCATGTTCTTTCAGGATTGTTTAGTTTTAACTTTCAGTTCTCTCCCACAAACCTTTTGTGCTCTTCTCCCCCCAGATGGGTCAGTAGCCATAGGTCAAGACTTTGAGATGACGTTGGAGATCCGACCACGGAGTTCATCTGGCCTGATATTTCAAATAGGGAGAAAAACACACTATCTCAGGCTGTCTTCTGACAGCCAAAAGGTAAATTGATTAATTTATTCATCTCTGGTTGGTTGGTTGGCTGATGAGCTTCTAAGAATTTTTTAAATAGAGACTAATATCTTGAAAATCCTTTGAAGGAAACCAGAACAATTGTCATATATGTTGTTGGGCCTGCAACCATATTTCCCTTGGATCTTTGGCCTGCCAGACTTTCTGTTATTCTGCTATGCCTTTTTCTATTGTGGGAAAATGGGATTGTACGGAGTTAGATGCTATGCAGCCATAACAAAATTCTTTCTAGAAAGCCAAGGTCATCCTTTGTCTTTTCACCTCTGCACCTGCCTGGAACGGGATGGGTGGACCTGCCAGCATGGCAGTGGGAGATTGGACCATGTGATGGACTGGTGGGTGTGGGGGCAAGATCTTGAACTTTCAACTGGGTGGGGAAAACCTAGGAGCTTTCAAATTTGGGTTTTCCCAGATGTGCCAACATGGCTCTCTTAATAATAGCAATAGCAATAGCAGTAGACTTATATACCGCTTCATAGGACTTTCAGCCCTCTCTAAGCGGTTTACAGAGAGTCAGCATATTGCCCCCAACAATCTGGGTCCTCATTTTACCCACCTGGGAAGGATGGATGGTTGAGTCAACCTTGAACCTGGTGAGATTCAAACTGCCAAATTGCAGGCAGCCGGTGATCAGCAGAAGTAGCCTGCAGTACTGCACTCTAGCCACTGCGCCAGCACAGCCCACATTGTATTAATAGCCACGAGGAGAAATTGTGGATCAGATGAAAGGCTGTGTTTTACACTTGTTTGTTTATATCCCACACTTCCCTCCTGTTTTTCCTACAACCCTGTGAAATGAATTGGGCTGAGAGAGAATGGCTGGCCCAAGGTGATCCAGCTGGCTTTCATGGCTAAGGTTGGACTTCAACTCATGGTTCCTTGCTTTCTGACCTGGTGCCTTAACCACAAGACGAGACTGGTTGTCAGTTATAAATTTCATCTAATGGAAATTGAAAATATAGTAGTGGGGTAGATCTATAATGATCTGACTTTCTTTCTGAGAACTTCCTCGCTAACATTGTTCTTTTCACTGAAGAACCAACACTCTGATAGAATAAATCAGATTTTTCAGGGGCATCTTCCTAGTGCCATCTAAATAAACTTCTCCAAATCATTTCTCTGTATTAGGTTACGCTGGCCGCAAATACAGGAACAAAAGAGTTCTCCACTTCTGTGTCCCAGCCTTCCCTCTGCGATGGCCAATGGCATACAATCACAGGTGAGCCACTTTCCAACCCAAGGGATCTCACCTTTTCTTCTGCTGTCTCTTTTGGAAGGAGATATTCTTTGCGTCAGAGATTTTCCCCAAACTGTATCTATATATATAAAAGCCAAATACCACTCACTCATCATGAAATCTCCAGAACTGTAAAGCCTACAAACTTAAAATTCGGCACGTATGTTCCTCTTGGCTTCTAGGTGCTTGCTAAGAGAGAATTTTTCGAAATGACCATCAGATCATCAATATTTCTTATGCAGCATTATATTAACATGCGTCGATGCTAAGGAGTTAGACATTCTACTCTCCCTCCCCACCTGAAAGGCACTCTGTTCCAACTGCCAGTTGCCTTATATTAACATGCTCTGATGCTACCCCTTTGCTAGACCAGGCATGGGCGTGGCCAATGTGTGACTCATTCGGCCTGTGGGCTGGGAGTTTAGACATTCTACTCCCCCTCCCCACCTGAAAAGAACTCTGTTCCAACTGCCAATTGCCTTATATTAACACGCTCTGATGCTAAGGAGTTAGACATTCTACTCCCCCTCCCCACCTGAAAGGAACTCTGTTCCAACTGCCAGTTGCCTTATATTAACATGCTCTGATGCTACCCCTTTGCTAGACCAGGCATGGGCGTGGCCAATGTGTGACTCATTCGGCCTGTGGGCTGGGAGTTTAGACATTCTACTCCCCCTCCCCACCTGAAAAGAACTCTGTTCCAACTGCCAATTGCCTTATATTAACACGCTCTGATGCTAAGGAGTTACACATTCTACATTACTTTTTAAACTTTAAGTGTCAATTTCTCAAGCCCAATCACATAGTTTTGTAGTGAAGCATGGGTATCCAGCTAGTATTCTATAAAATTCTCCTCCTCCATCCCCCATCTTACATTTATGTTTATTGACCATTATGTTACATGACAATACACTGAAGAGCCTAATCACAAAATAATATCTTTGTAGAACGGTGTTGATCAGTTCAGTTGAAGATCTAGTCGATATATTGAGTCAACATATTGTCTCTGTGTATGGTGAATGGATAAAACAAGTCCACTTAATTAGATTTAATGTTGGTAAATCAGTCGTCTGGATTTCATGAAACCTTTCCCCTCATCAAACGGTTGTTGATGGAGGCTAAAATTGGGCCGCCATGCTTCTCGGGGGACTTTGGAGTCCATTCAGATCCCATAGAGACGTCGGCTACTAATTAAAACATTATAACGTTTGCAAACCATGCATGTCCATCTGTCCTCATCTTTAAATAAAGACTAATCCTTTGTTGCTGGTCCAGCTCAGTATTCTTTGCTAATAAGAGGTCTCTCTTGTTGGTAATTAGAGGGGATGCAATCCAACAGTTATTGGGCAGCTGGTTGGGAAGAGCTGAATCAGTAGCACTAGGCGGATTTTTTTCTTCTCGCATATTCCTCTGGCATAAGGGAGCAAGTGGGGTTGCATGAATTATGAAATAGACCCATGCTATTTTGTTTTCCTTCATAGTCATCAAAGGAAGCAACATGATCCAACTGGATGTGGATACCAAAGCCAATTACACAGTGGGTCCAAACGAAGTCCAAGATACCTCGGATAAAGAAAGCATTCACCTTGGTGGAATGCCAGGTGAGTGGGCTGAGGAACCGGAGCATCCAGAGGAGTTCATTAAAGGGACATATCTAGATTATTAGTTTTCAAACCTTCTAGACCTATAGGAATGCGGTGGCTCAGTGGCTAAGACGCTGAGCTTGTCGATCGGAAAGGTCGGCAGTTCGGCGATTCGAATGAATCCCTAGCGCCGCATAACGGAGTGAGCTCCCATTCCTTGTCCCAGCTTCTGCCAACCTAGCAGTTCAAAAGCATGTAAAAATGCAAGTAGAAAAATAGGAACCACCTTTGGTGGGAAGGTAACAGCGTTCCGTGCGCCTTCGGCATTTAGTCATGCCAGCCACATGACCACAGGGACATCTTTGGACAGTGCTGGCTCTTTGGCTTTGAAACGGAGATGAGCACCGCCCCCTAGAGTTGAAAATGAACAGCACATATGTGCGAGGGGAGCCTTTACCTTTACCTTAGACCTACAAAGAGTCTAAAATGTACGAGGAACAATTCCTGGAATTGGATGGGCCTGCTCTAATACAAAGGTCTAGAGGTGACATAACAGGGCTTCAGTATCTGAGGGGCTGCCACAAAGAGGAGGGCATCAACTTATTTACCGAAGCACCTGAGGGCAGGACAAGAAGCAATAGATGGAAAGTAAGCAAGGAGAGAACCAATCTAGAACCGAGGAGGAATTTCCCTCCAGTTAGAACAATTGGTGCAACGGCTGACCTTCAGTCGCTGTGAGTGTTCCATTACTGGAACCTGCAAAAAGAGATTGGATGGCCATTCGTCTGAAATGGAATAGGGCTGTGATGGGGAACCTATCACATGTGCCAGAGGTGGCATGCAGAGCCCTCTCTACGGGCACACGCGCCGTCACCAGCTGCTCTTCTGGTTTCCGGTGGACTGGAAAACGGCCAGAAAAATGCCCCAAAAACAGAGCGTTTGGGGGGCCATTTTCAGGCTGTTTTTTTGAACCATTTTCTGGGATGTTTTTGGCTTGAAAAAGGCCTGAAAATGGACCAGAAAACGGCCAAAAATAGGCATTTGTGCACCATCTAGCTGGTCTTTGGGTTTCCGGCGTGCGCACATGCACACACATGCATGCATGTTCTGGTGCCAAAAAGGTTCGCCATCCCTGGTATAGTTTCCTGCCTAAGCAGAGAGTTGGACAAGGCCTCCAAGGTCCCTTCCAACTCTGCTATTCTGTTAAATGAAAGAGGCCAGGGGGAGGGAGGAAGGCAGGAAGCAAGGAAAGGAAAGGGAAGGAGGGAAGGAAGGAAAGGAAGAAAAAGAAAGGGAAGGAAGAAAAGGAGGGAAGAGATAAGGAAGGGGGTTATGGTTAGGAAAGAAGGGAAGGAGGGAAAGAAGAGAAAGGGAGGGACGGAGGGACTTGTGAGCAAGGCCAAAGGATTGCAGAGGGGATGGAGCAAAGCTAGCTTTTTCTGGACAATTTGGACCTGGTTCAACAAAAAAGAAGGTAATTCTGAATGTAACGAGCAGCAGAGATAAGGCTCAACTGGCTATTGATGCTCCTTGATGCAAAAGTGACCTTAGCAAGATTTTCTCTCTCTCTCTCAAGTCCTCCTGGTTTCGGTGCATAAAAACACTTCGTTTTCCTTTTGCAGAAGTCGCTTCACTGCCCCACCTGCGCCACCCTTCCTCGTTTGTGGGCTGCATGAAGAATTTGGTGATCAACCGAAACCCAATTGACATCAGGCAAGCTGGCTCAACTAGGGGCTCTGTAGGGCTCAGCGGGTGCCCGACTGGGTAAACTGGAGCTTCCTGCCAGGTGTAAAATCGGAGCCACAGATGGGTTCGTCGGCCCTCCCAAAATACGGCGGACGTCTTCGTGATGCATCTCCTTGCCGACAAAAACACAGAGGGTTTCAATGAACACAAGTGTATATAGAGAGGAGCAGAGGAAGAGCTGTGGTGGGGTTCTCAGAGCTGTGCTCGTTAGCTAATTTGTAATATATTTGCACATTTCATTCAGTATATTGGCAGTAGGGTATTTCAAACAAGGCACATGGTGTGCGCTTTATAAAAATATTTATAATGGGTGGTTAGGCGGCTAAGGTGCTCCCTTGCACGAGTGAGAGAAGTCACAGTGATGCCTTAAGCAACAATTTCATCAATATACACAAGGACCAAAATGTTTAAGCCTAGCTGTATAGCGTGGAGCCCTTCGTGTTCTTAAGCTTGGTTGCGTTGTCTGAAGATGTTTCTGCAAGCAAGCCAAGTTTGGAGAGCACCGAGGATTCCAGTCCAACCCTCAGCTCTTCTCTTGATATCTTCGTATACATTTGAAAACTGCAGTTGTTCTAATAATTTTCCAGGGATTAAATTTTTCAATGGGGTGATGGCTGCAAGGGGGAAACAACCTGATACACCACAACGGCACATATATTCCCCCCCCCCCCGAGTATTTGAAAAATGGTTTTGTCTTCGCCAACTTCCCTAAAGGGATCAAGGAATGTAACGGACGTTCCTTAATAAATTAGGTTTGCACATCGAGTGTGATATCATTAACATGGATCTGGGGTACTTTGCAGTTCAGGGTTATGAGATCCTAGCCAGTCCGTGATGACCGGCCATACGGTGGTTTGCTTAATAGCACCAAGAGTCTAGATCTAGGATTTAAGCGGATTTTGTGACTCCAGGCAAAAACAGGGGTGCTTCCTTCATGTTCGGTGCCGTTGCTGCAGCCTGCATTTCAGTGACATTACGGGAAAACATAGGTTTTGCTTTAAATAAGGAGGAACTTTCTGAGTGGACAATCAACCAATGGAACAGCTTGCTTTCCAAAGCTTCATCACTTGAGACTTTCAAGAAGAGATTGGACTGCCATTTGTCAGAAATGGTGTAGTCTCTCCCACTTGAGGTGGGGGGGGGGTGAGGGTTGGACTAGATGACCTGTAACAGATGGTGCGTCAAAATTTGTATGCGTATGCTATTGCATGCATGTGCCCAACCCGCCTGCGCATGTGTGCGCAAAGCCCCCCCCACGCATGTAAGCACGAAACACACACCCTGTACGGGGGGGGGGAAGAGAGAGAGAGAGAGAGAGAGAGAGAGAGAGAGAGAGAGAGAGAGAGAGAGAGAGAGAGAGAGGGGGGTGCGGGGGGGGGGGGAGTTTTCATCCTCTCTAGGATCTGGAGGCTTTCGTCCCTCCGGAAGGACGAAAATCAGCTGGCCAGTGGTCACATATGCGCTGGAGCTGAGGGCTGCCGTGCCAGAAAATGTGGCACCTGTAGCATGTGTGCCATAGGTTCGCTATCACGGACCTATAAGGCCCCTTCCAACTCTCTTAATCTGTTAAAAGTGATGTCCTCAGCTCCTTTCAGAAAAAAACCCTAATCCTTCACTCTTACTCCATTGCGTTGTCTTCTTCACTTTTAATATCACAACTTCTCTTCCCATCAGGTAACTTCACTTACTCCATATCAAACCAGGTTCACTTGTGCACTTAGAAGCATCATTGTATGTTTATGTGTGTGTGTGTATATATATATATAAATGTATATATATATCTCTCTCATCACATTGGGGAAGACAGCTCTGAAAAGAATTTTATTACTCGTCAGTATATTGGTTATTTTAATGCTGGGGTACATATTGAAAAGTGGATTTTAACTCACCCTGACTTTTATTTCAGCAACTTATTTTGGGTGCTGAATAAAGAAAGCAATATTTCTGTACATCATTGCTACATACTTCCAATAAAATTTCCTGATTGTTTTTTTCTTGTAAAATTTGTACAAAGTGGCCTCAATGCAAAGAGGAGAATATGTTTGAGTGAATGCATTCATAGGATACCACGAAAGGGGATACAGGGCTTCCCAGTTTATACAATGTGAATTACATGCTTACAACCGAGTTGCTTGCAAGGGTTCCATTCTGTAACCTCCCACAAATATCAATATTTTTGCCAGCTATTTGTCACTCTCTAAGCCAGTGTTTCTCAACCTTGGCAACTTGAAGATGTCTGAACTTCAACTCCCAGAATTTCCCAGCCAGCATTCGCTGGCTGGGGAATTCTGGGAGTTGAAGTCCAGACATCTTCAAGTTGTCAAGGTTGAGAAACACTGCTCTAAGCCATAATCATTCTTAATCACCTTGCGTCATGCCCAGCCCACCCTTGGAGAGGCCTCTTTTGCAAATGGAGCTTAAGCCAGTTAAAAATACCTGGATTTGTGATTTCTGTGAAAATATTCTGCTCAAAACAATTCCCCAGGCCCCACATTATCCAACACAGGAGGAGGGGAGAAGATCAGGAGCCCCTCAAATCTTTTAATGAAGGCAAGAAGTCAAATATTCCACCAAATATAGACACACCCAGGTGCAATTAGCTAAATATAAAAAATATATATAAACTAATAGATGTAGGTTAACCCTTCAAACGTAAAAGCTACAGTTTTACTGGATGCAAGATTTCATTTAGTCCAATCAAATCTTTCCTAGGGACAAGTGGTGTCTTAAGGCTAAACAGCTGCCTGGGTTATAGCAAGAAAGGGGGGGGGGGAGTTATTTTCAGAAATAATTTTGGGAATGAGATCCTTTACTTGTAGATTCAATACATGGAGTCAGTTAGGGATTCTACTTAAAAGTTAATATCTAGGAGTATCATTCAGACACAATTAAGAAACCTAATCTAAACTCATGTCTTCCTCTTCGTCCTTCTTTTCCTTTGCTTCTCCTTCCTTTTGGTCGGATTTGACGTTGTTCTGCATGGCTTTTGCAAACGCCTCTACGTCTAGAAAAAAAAAGACACATTATATGGGTAATCCAGTAAGGGAAAAGTAAGAAAGACAGCAGGCGGCCTTGTGTGCACATTTGAAGTGTGTAGTTGCAACACATGACTTGCAACAGCACGGAAGGTTTGCAGCAGGATAGCTGCAATTTGCAAAGTCTGTTTTTAAAGGTTAGTCCAAATGATAAATCCTTTGCATAAAATATGTTGGCCTAACATTATTTCCCTTCTAAGTCAGTTTCCAACAAGCTGGATATCACACTTTCCATTTCACTATGCTTTACTAATAAAGCGTGTTTTTACTTTACTACTAAAGCATGAGAAGCTTTTTTATCATTTAGACCTGTAAGTGCTGTTCCCCTTGGCATACAATCTTGACGGCATACAATTAAAACTTTAAAACTAATATTAAACAAAAGAGAAGGGAAAATGGTGTGCAACAGCCAGCCAGGTGTCTTACACTTGTCTATTTCAGACCTTGGGGGAACAATCAAGTTTTTAAAGAACATCTACAAATTTGTAGTGTCAGGATGAGCCAAAACATTTTGGGTTTTCAAGACGGAGCAGCTCTCTGGTAGCATTCTTGGTTAAAACTCCTTAACTATTCAATAGTAAGAATTCAACTAATTCTCTGCAGCCCTTTATAGCACAGACATAGGAAGACATAAATGATTGTGAACAAAAGTACCAGGCTTCGAACCACCATGTCAGCAATGGACAATCCTGAATAGGATTCGCACCTCACACAGCGTCTGCCAGGACTCTTTGTATAGCAATAGCAGTAGACTTATATACCGCTTCATAGGGCTTTCAGCCCTCTCTAAGCGGTTTACAGAGAGTCAGCATATTGCCCCCAACAACAA